CTTCTAACCATCTATTTGAACCCAACTTTCAAGCAGACGCTGCTTGGTTTGCTGAAATTTCAGATTTCATTGACGCAAACTTCTGTAAGCTCGCTGCTTCTTCATTTCCCTCAGCTATTCAGCCTTTGCAGGTTATTCCTGTAGAGTCCACGCACAAATAGAGAAAAGGGAAGTGTGGTTTCCCTCGATGGATAACAGCTGCATTCCTGTGTCTACCTTCTCTTGACGTGGACAAATATGAATTATTATTTATCACATCTTTCTTGTATCAATGATGGCTGTTACAAACACTATCAAACCCACACCATTAATTCGAATGCAACCGTTCTGAACGGTTTGGGATAGAATGCAACCGTTGTGGACGGTTTGGGATGGAATGCAATCTTCCGGTGCGTTTCAGATGAGACCTAGATTTCTCCAGGTCTCACCCTAGACTCGCGAGCGAACGAGCTTTTCCCCTCTCTCTGGAGGACCTCCAGGGAGAGAGGAGTGGTGCTCACCAGCTCAAACGGCCGACTGACGTGACTTTGGACGTTTGGCGGCTTATATACCGCCGTGAATGCGCTCCACGTGAAATATTTTTTTTTGAAAAAAAAATGACCCGGTCGTTCCCTTTCTTGTGAAAGCTGTAACTAAGCTTGAACTTGACCAAATTGGATGTATTTTGTATCTTTTCATATCAAAATTTGAATTCGAATCCGAATTTGCAGTTAATTTGTTGTTTTGAGAATGAAATTTTCTTAGAAATTTTTGAAAATCTGTTGATATGGTGTGGATGTCAGGGGGGGGGATCCTTACTTCTCTACTAATCAGCATAATATCCGTGATCTGACAGTAGTAATGACATTGAAAAGGTCGAAAATGAATATGTTTCTCGGTCTGATAACTCTGCTCTTCGATATGTATTATCCTTGCTCCTGGTCGTGATTGGCTGACCCAATACGAATAATCATGCTCTAATCGCCTTAATCGTTTCAAGATATAAGTGATCTTACGCAGGTTACTGTAGCTGCACAAAGCCCTTTCCTGACACTTCTGATGTTTTCGAAATTAATTTGTTTATGCTAATTTCTATTTTGTTTTGTTTTTTATTTTTTTCTGTTCAAATTCAGTTGTTATAGCTATTGCCCGCGATGTTGTCATGATTGAGGAGAAGTGTGACATCGACTGGTGTCCGGAACAAGGAG